ATTATAAAGTAAAATTTAGATTCATTTCCTTAACCTCACAAATGGTTCATAACCCACAGTTAAAGTTCCCTTTTTTTGTATGTGGATATACAAGTTGTCCTGATACCCTTTGTTAAAAATACTACCTTTGCCCTGGCCGGTTTGGCTCAGCAGTTAGAGCGTCAGCCTGCGTTCCAGAGAGACCCGGGTTCGGTTCCCACTAAGGGCGCGTAACTCGGTTGCAGTTTGTTCCCGGCCCTGGTTGGTCGTGCGGGTGGCAGCCACTCGATGTGTCCCTTTCATGTCGATGTTTCTCTCTCTCTCTTCCTCTCTTTCTCCCACTATATCTGAACAAAAAAAAAAAAAGGAAAAATGTCCTCAAGTAAGGATTAAAAAAATATATACTATCTTTTCTCCACTGTACTGCCTTTGTAACTTTGTTGAAAATTAGTTGTCCACATATATGTGGGTCTATTTCTGGATACTCTGTCTGCTCTATTGATCTCTCTTTGTCTATTTTGACACCCCTACCACATTGTCTTGATTATCATGGTTTTACAGTAAGTCTTAAAATCAAGTACTATTAGTCCTCTTTTTTTTTTTTTTTGACTATTCTAGTTGCTTTGCTTTTTTAAAAATCTAGTCTGCAGTGAATTTTAGTGAACTCACAGGAGACATTCCTTTTTGCAACATAGAAGAAACTGAAGTTGTACTAGCCTGCACTGTGAGACAAACCAGTGATGGCACCTGCTCAGACCAACCTGGAGCAGACACCAACTGATGCCACAGCCCGCAGGAGGGAGTGGGCTTTCTTCCCATTTATACTTTAAAAGCCCCTGCTGTGATTTTGATTGCACTGAACTGTAGATCAATTTGAGAAGAATTCACATCTTAATATTATTGAGTGTTCCAATCACAATTGGTAGATCTTAGACATCTTTTTTCAAATTCATCCCTAAGTGGTTCATATTTTTCATACTATTATATATGGTATTTAACAAATTTTTAATTTCTAGTTGATTGTTACTACCATATAGAAGTACAAACGTTTTTTTATATATTGATTTTGTATCCTCCAAACTTGCTAAGCTCACTTATTCTAGTAGGTCTTTTGTAGAATCTCTGACTTTCTACATATACCATCATGTCTTCTGGAAATACAGTTTTACTTCCTTTCAAATCTGGTTGCCTTTTATTTCTTTTTCTTGCTTTATTGCACTGGCTAGAAGGTCTAGTACAGATATGTTTGTCTTACTAAACTTATGGGGAAAAGTCTGTCAGTATTAAGTACATTATTAACTATTGTTTTTCATAGATACCTTTTATAAGATGAGTAAATTCCCTTTTATTTCTAGTTTGCTGAGATTATTTTTTATGAGGAATGAGGGTTGAATTTTGTTAGACTATTTCTGCATCTATTGAGATGATTATATAGATTTCTTTTTTATATTTCTTTAATATAATGAATTACATAGATTTTCTACTGTTAATACAATCTTGATTAGTAAGATAAACTTTATTTGGTCATAGTGACTTTATACATCGTTAAATTCATTTTGCTAAAAATTTTTTCAACTATGTTCATAAACAATACTGTTTTTTGTTTCTCTTTTCTTAAAATGTGTTTGTCCGGTTTTGGTATCAGGATAAAATGCTGGCATCATAGAACGAGTTGGTTAGTATTCCAACCTTTAAAGTACAAATTCAACTTCTTTAATAAATACGGAGCTACTCAGCTTATCTATTTGTTGAGTAAGCTTTGGTAATTTTTGTCCTTCAAGGACTTTGTATTGGCATAAAGTGGCTTATTACATTTTTATTATCTGTAGAAACTGGGCAGTGTCTCTTTTCTCATTACTGATATTGGTAATTTTTGTCTTCTCTCTGTTTAGTCTGGTTAGTCACTTATTAATTTTATTGATTTTCTCAAAGATCCAGCTTTTGTTTTCATTGATTTTTCTCTGCTAACTTCTTGCTTTTATGCCATTGATATTCTTGATATCTTCTATTATTTTTATTTTATTTATGTAGGGTTCATTTTTGCTGTCTTCTAGTTTCTTTAGATGACAGCTATGTATGCAACATGTCCTTCTATTCAGTAATTATGATTATTGTGAAAATGAGATTTTCTGCCAGTTCTAACATCTGTCAGTTCTTGGCAGTTGCATAATTTTTCTTATCACGATAGGTCATATTTTCCAGCTTATTGGAAAGCCTGGACATTTTCTGGTTGAATGCTGGACAATGTGAATTTTACCATGCTTGAGTATTCATATACCTTTTGTTGATATATGTTCTGGGACACAATGTAGTTAATTAGAAACAGTTTGGTGTTTTCAGATACAGCTTTTAGGACTGGTGGGTGGGAATGGAATGGGGTTCAGTCTGGCTAAGTACTCTCCGGTGCTGAGGTCAGACGTTCTGTCACTCCGCTCAGTGCCCTGGAGCTGGGCGGTGCCAACCTGACCGACAGGCGCTGTTCTCACCCCTGTCTCAGTGCGGGGCCTGTTGCTGCCCGTCCTCTGCTCTGCCTCCTGCTGCAGCCTCAGGTGGCTTCCCCACGTGCGTGCGCTGATCGGCACCCATCTGATGCTCAAGGGGAACCTCTGCAGCTCGCCAGAGCGCTCTCGGCATCCCTCCTCTCCTCTGCCTCCCGCTGCAGCCTCAGGTGGCTTCCCCACGTGCGTGCGCTGATCGGTACCCATCTGATGCTCAAGGGGAAGCTCTGCAGATCGCCAGAGCGCTCTCCGCATCCCTCCTCTGCTCTGCCTCCTGCTGCAGCCTCAGGTGGCTTCCCCACGTGCATGCGCTGATCGGCACCCATCTGATGCTCAAGGGGAACCTCTGCAGCTCGCCAGAGCGCTCTCGGCATCCCTCCTCTGCGGTTCTGTCCTGTGACTTCTCGCTGCTTCGATTCCCTGAACTTAGTTCCGTATTCTCAATTTCGGGCACCCACCGGGCTGCGACTTAGTTCCTCTTTCCTCAGTCAGCTCTTCTCTTCCCCAGGTCTCTGCTCAGATGCCACCTCCTCAGAAAGCCATTCTCTGACCATGCTGTCTAAAGTGGTAGGCGCTCCCACTCTGTCCTTTGTCCCTGCGTCTCTTCATTGCCTGTCTCTGCTCCCCATACCGAGCCCAGTTCTGGTCTTACGTGTGTACCTAACGGAATTGGATGCTCACATGTATCAAATAATACACACAGAAGTGTTCATAATAGCCCCACACTGGGAATAGCCCAAATGGTTATCAGTTACTGGATAGCAATGCAAGTGAATAAACTGGGGTGCACACAGCAAGGGTGGAGTCCAGAAATAGAATGTTGACAAAAGGACCCAGACAAAGAACACTTCATGCTGTTGGAAAAGGCACAACTGAAATACAATGTGAGAATTTTCAGTAGCCATTCCCTTTGGGTTTCGCCTCTAAGAGGGGCCCATTGCGGCCTTCTGACTGCCTTCCCATGAGCTGAGTGGAGACATCAGCTGAGTGAAATCAGTTGAGTTCTAGGTCAGACATGTCTCCTTTGTAAAACCTTCTTTAATTCCCTGGACAGGGTCAATCACCTTCCTCTCTGACCCAACATTAGAACAATTGCATTATAATTATTACATTTTCCAAGGAAAGGGGGTCATCTTGGCTTTTTTTTTTTTTTTTTATCCTCACCCGAGGACACTTTTCCATTTTTTGTACAGATAGAGTGGGAGGGAGAGAGAGGAAGAGATAGAAAGAGAGAAACATCGATGTGAAAGGGACACATCGAGTAGCTGCCACCGGCACGACCAACCAGGGCCGGGGACAAACTGCAACCGAAGTACGTGCCCTTAGCGGGAACCAAACCCGGGTCTCTCCAGATCGCAGGCCGACGCTCTAACCGCTGAGCCAAACCGCCCAGGGCTTGGCTTTTTTTTTAAGTACCTTGATTGATTGGTGTATTGTAGGTACTCTGGAAACTTTTTTTTTATCCTCCCCCGAGGACATTTTTCTATTTTTTTTGTTCAGATAGAGTGGGAGGGAGGGAAAGAAAAACATCAACGTGAAAGGGACACATCGAGTGGCTGCCACCCGCACGACCAACCAGGGCCGGGGACAAACCGCAACCGAGGTACATGCCCTTAGCGGGAACCGAACCCGGGTCTCTCTGGACCGCAGGCCGACGCTCTAACCGCTGAGCCAAACCGCCCAGGGCTGGAAACGTTTTCTAATGGAAGGATTGAGCAAATGAAGGAACTTCCTACTGAACAAACAAGCCAAGGGCTTCTCTTCGGACCTGTGCCCTCTCCTTCATTGCCTGCTTCTAGCTGAAGTTGGAGAAGCCAGGGTTTGTTGGCAAGTGTTTGTCATTAGGAAAGAAACGTGTGAAGACTTTCAGGTAACCCAGTGGTCTCAGGAGGTAGAATGAGGTCAGACTCCTGAGTTTTGGTGACCCTGTAGCTGAAGAAACAAGGACTTGTCTGCCTGCTGGTTATGGGTGGCCGCAGGGAACAGGGTGTGGCTTGGCTTACTCGGCAGGTTTGGCCAAGAATATTTTCACCACAAGTTTACGAAAGGGTCCAATAAAGTTATCTTCTACCATTAAAAATCTGTTTGCTTTGTAGGGTATTTTCCACACACACAAAAATTCCATTAAGCCAAGGTACTATAACTTAACAGAGCGTCCTTTTTTTCCTTTTAATTTTGAACATTTCAATAAACACAAACGTGAAGAGGGTCATAAAATGAGGATAAACAGAGCTTCCAGATCAAACTGTGGCGATCCTCAGAAGGAGAGCTCCTTCAGAGTTTGTCCTTACTGGGAGTAACTGGAGCTCAGCGATGACTTAGCCGAGTTCCAACTGGCGCATTGAGGTTTCCGTGCCAGGTTGTGTCAAGGAACCCGGGACAGATGCATCTGTTCTTTGAAAAGAACCCTGGCAGTTCGGCAGCGTCTTAGCATCTCGAATGTATATTTTGATTTGCGCATGTTTATTGGCACCCACGGCCTTTCCCCTTTGCTAACGCGACTGCGGACGCGTCTTCCCGCAGGTGTGGCGCTCCCGTCCAAGTTTCCGAGGCGAAGCTGCTTTCCTTTTCGTCGGGACAGCTCACCGTTCCCCTCCCCGCCGAGGTGAAGACCATCGGGACAGAGAAGGACCACATCCTGCCCCTGCAGGAACTGGCCATGAGGAGCCTGCATCACACCTACCACAGCTTTCTGAAAGGTCCGTGCTTCTCTGTCTGCTCGGCTCTTGGCCAGTGGACTGCAGATTGGTGTCCATGCTGCCCGATCCAGCGTTCTTGTCTTATTATTATCATTATTGTGATCAAACATACAGAACCAAAAATGTACCATTCAATCCATCTTACGTGTTCAGTGCAGTGGCGTTAAGTACATTCACATTGTTGTGCAATGGGCCTTTTTTTTAATAAGAAAAAAAGTTTGTTGTATCAACACTGAGCCCTTCAGCAGCCCCTGTAGACAGAGGGGCATTCACTCAAATGCGGTCTTCAGTCTCAAAGGACGGAGGTTAAACATTAACCTAAACTCTGTGGTTTAAATCAAGGAAACTGATGTTTGCGGATGTATATTTGGTGGACAGGAGCCTGGCAGAAGCACTTTCTTCAGTAGGAAAAAATTCTCAAAGATCTTATCCTTCAGGCGAAGTGGGGTATTTGCTCCAGGAGGGCAGGTTTTTGCCTAACGACCTCGTGCCTGAAAAGTCTATATACCTAAAGAGGACAAAATATCAGGAAACTTCCTCCAGCGTTGCCGCAGATTACCGCAGCATGCCAGCGCTTGGTTTGGAAAGGACGTGGCAGCGGGCAGGTGTCACGGGAGATGCGGAGTGGATATCTGAGATGCTTTAGGAAAGGCAGTGTCGCCCTGGCCGGGTGACAGCATCGTCCCGATACACCAGCGCTGCAGGTTCCATCCCAGGGCAGGGCGCACATAAGAGTCAACCAATGAATCCATAAATAAGTGGAACGACAAATGTCTCTCTCTCTTTTCCTCTCCCTTCCCCCTTCTCTCTAAAATCAATCAATAAATTTAAAAAAAATTTTTTTAAAGTGTTTTTCTCATTATTGATTTTAGAGAGGGAGAGAGAGGAAAGGAGAGGCAGAAACATCGATGAGAGAGAACATCGACTGGCCGCCTCCTGCATGCCCCCCACTGGGGATCTGGCCCACAACCTGGGCATGTGCCCTGACCAGGAATCGAACCGGCAGCCTCTTGGTGCATGAGTTGACGCTCAACCACTGAGCCACACCGGCCAGGCTAAAAAAAATTTTTTTAAAGAAAGACAGTATTAATAAGAAAAATGCACTTCAAGTATTTTTATTTTTATTATAATTTTTTTTAATTTTAGACAGGGAGTAAGGGAGGGGGTGGGCATCGATGTGAGAGAGACACATCAATCCATTGCCTCCTGTACCAACCCCGTCCAGGGACTGAACCTACAACCTGGGTATGTGCCCTGACCAAGAATCGAACCCATGACCCTCCAGTGCTCAGGAGGACGCTCCAGCCAACTGAGCCACACCGCCCAGGGCTCAAGTGTTTTTCAAACTGCTAAATGTTTTATTTGCTTTAAAAAATATAAAAGGCCCATAAAAAAAAATCTAACAATAACCTTCTAGAGATGTGTAGTACAAAATTAAGTTTTGTTTTTTTAAATAAACAAAGCCCGGCTGGTGTGGCTCAGTTGATTGGAGCGTCCTCCTGAGCACTGGAGGGTCATGGGTTTGATTCCTGGTCAGGCCACATACCCAGGTTGTAGGTTCAGTCCCTGTCATCCCCTGGACTGGGAGGTCCCAGTTTGATGCCCAGTCAGGGCACATGCCCAGGTTGTGGGCTCGATCCCCAGGAGGGGGTGTGCAGGAGGCGGCCGATCAATGTATCTCCCTCACATTGATGTTTCTCTCTCCCTTCTTCTCTCTCTAAAAAAATCAATGAAAACATATATTTTTTTAAATTACAAATTAAACAAAAATTGTAATTATTCACCTATGAGCAAATTTCGTTTTTCTACATAGTTATTGATAAGTCTGGACAGATACAGAAAAGATAGTAAGATAGTTTGTATTTCCCTCCCCGAGTTGAGTCAATGATGTTTAGGTTTCACATCTCCATGGCCACTGCACTCTCTCCTGGATGTTTACCATCAATAGCAACCCTGGTCCACGTGTGCTCAAACTTGCCTGGGCCATTGGGGTGTTTTGCTTTAAACGTTTCTTTGTGTAGCTCAGACTAAGCTGAGTAGGAAGCACCCTGTGATTAATGACAGCTCTTGGGAGTGAGATAAGGAAAAGGTTGTCTCATTACTTTTTGTTTTCTTTACTTTGTTTCCCCTTTTTAAAATTCTTTTTAGTAAATATGATTTAGCTTGATTGATTCTAAATTCCCAGTAGATTTAGGCAGAACTTAATGAAAGTCCATTTTTTTATTCTCTGTCTCTTATAGAAGTTTACAAATCCTGTCTAGTAAAATGATGCCTTTTTGATCTTTATTCTTAAAGAATATTTGGTCTTATTCTTTCCTTGTCTCTACCTTAGGTCAGCTTCTGGTTTCTCTTGAAAGAGTAGACTTAGGTTTTCTCTTATTATAAAAAATGTAAAAACATCTTTCATTTCTAATAACGTTAAGTTTTTATTCCGTGCCTCACAGATGAAAGAGTTTTTAACTTGCAGTACTTTTAACCAACTGAACTGCCTGGGTAACAAAGAGAAATACTTTTAAAAGCCTAGTATAAGGAAGTCTGGTATTTTTATTCATGCATAATTTTCTTTTGTGTTCCAGATTTGAACTTTCTGTCTCCCATCTCATTACCCAGAAGTCTCCTGGAGCTGCTGCACTGCCCCCTGGGGCACTGTCACCGGTGCAGCGAGCCCATGTTTACAATTGTCTACCCCAAGCTCTTTCCCTTGAGAGAGACGCCGATGGCTGGGCTGCACCAAGGGTAATCATACCTGAGTGGACACCCGGGCTTGCACCTGGGCGAGCGGTGGGCGTTCAGGGAGGGGCGGGTGGCATGCGTGGAGGTATCATGAAGTCAGCAGCTACATAGGACCATGGCGTGCTTCCTGGGATAGGGCTACATGAAACATGCACATTTTTGACATCACAAAAAAACTGCTCTTTCCTTTATTACTTTTTTGCTCATATACAGAAGTTTTATTGCATATATTATTTAGAGTAGCTCATTCTTTGCAAGAGTGTTTTTCTGCTATTCCCTTGTTCTATAGTCTTCAGGCAATAAGGAATGTAAGAACAAAATATTTATTATATAATGGGACCGGCCCAGCCCTTCTGTTTAATTGAAAGTGTGTGGCTGACCTAAGTGTGTGTGTGTGTGTGTGCAAGTGTGCTTGTGAGTGCAAGTGTGCATGTGTGTGTGCACGAGTGTGTGTATTTTGAATCTCTAACTCTTCCAAATGGCATTCTCTTGCAACTCTCTGTTTCTTGGCACAATGCCTTCAATTTGCTAAAAATGTTCACTACGTAAAAAAAAAAACCTATACTGGTAGTTTAAAAAAGAATATCAGACAATTAAAAATAGGACATCAAATAAAAAATCCCCCATTAGCACAACCAAAGCATATAGATTTTCTAAATTTAAGATTTTTCTAAGTTTGCATTTTTCAAAGGTAAAAAAAAAAAGAGTACTAGAATACCTTACTTATCCATCAAATGTGGTACTTGGGGTTCATAAATTTTCCAGATACCTTGTAACCTCTATTCAGTGCCACAAGGCGTTTCTTTTGTCAGTTCTGTGGAATGAGAGCGAGCGAGGGCAGGGTGCTGAACCCCTCTGAGCCTCAAAATGGGGACAGAACAGCCTGCTAGGCAGGGCCATCCTGGGGCTTAGTAACGAGGAAGGCAAACACCTGGCACGTAATAGGTGTTCGGCAGTGAGAGTTCCCTTTTCCATCTCTCTGCCCGCCCCGCCCAAACTGCATTGATCTTTTCCTTACCCTGAATAATCCTATTTTGCTATACTTTCAGTTCCTGTTTCCATGTTCTGTAGTTTTAACATTTGCTGGTTTACTGTAGCTGTGGACAGAAACTTCTCCAAACCTTTCTCATCCTAGATGATCAGATCACCAAGTTTAGTGGAATTCCATTTAAATTAGAGTTGAAAGGACTGACTCAGAGTCTGAGTGTAATACACAATGAATACAATGAAAAGTGAAACAGGCACATCTACAAGAAGCAGATCACGTGCCCAGGCTGATAAAGACGCCTCCACTGGGAGACTTCGGGCGAATTACTCAGCTTCTCTGAGCTTCACCTTTTCATCAGCAAAATGAGCATAATAATAACATCTATCTATTTAATAAGGTCATTGTGAGGATTAAGTGAGATGATTCATGTAAAGAGCCCAGCATGGTGCCTGATATGTAATAAATACTAAGTAAATGTTAACTGTGAACTGTTTTTGTAGCTCAGAGACTTAAAAAATTTACTGTAGCCCATCCAGTGTGGTTCACTGGTTGAGCATCGACCCATGCACCAAGAGGTCGCCGGTTCGATTACTAAGTTTCGAGTGCACAGTTCTATATGATACCTTCTGTATATTGCATTATGTGCTCACCTCTCAAAATCTAGTATGAAACTTTAAAAAATGTTTTTGTGTGTATTATTAATATTCATAATCGTATCTTTATATTAGTAAGCTCATACTAGGAAAATCAACCAATTCATTAAATCCTAATGCACTGTTAGTGCATAATTTCCTATAGAAGATACTTTCTTCCCATAAATGTAAAAATGGGAACATTTCAGAATGGACAGGCTGCTCTGTTAATAGCTGATAAAATTCTAAATGCCTATTTCAAAAGATACACTTTCTTTTTAACATGGTCATTAATTTGTGAAAGTAAAGTAGATTCTTCAAATGAAGTCATTTTTGTGTTAATCTAGATTCTTCAAATGAAGTCATTTTTGTGTTAATCTTTACATGGAACTTGGGAAACTTATTTAGTATTCGCATATTCCATTTACTTCTACTTATTCTAGAAATTCGGTATGAATAATCTTACATTGTTTCAGAACATAAACATAATAATATTAGTTGAATAAAACACGGGTATCAAGTACATAGGACTTAGATGATGCCCTTTTGTTGGCTTTCCGTGTTGAGTTAATGCCGGGGTCTGAAATCAAGAGTTGGTGTCTTTCACTGGGTCCAGCAGACGTTGCTCCTCCCCGGGTTGCTATGGAGATTGTATTAAAAGCATTGACTTGAGTTTCTACCATAGTCTTTAAAGCACCTTCTGGTAACTGAAAACCAAATACTTGAACCTTACAGTACCTTATTGCTGAAAGTAAAATCAATATTTTTTGTTTTTGTTTTTGTTTTTTTTTATCCTCACAGGAGGACATTTTTCCATTTTTTATTCAGGTAGAGTGGGAGGGAGAGAGAGGAACAGAGAGAGAGAGAGAGAGAAACATCGATGTGAAAGGGACACATCGAGTGGTTGCCACCCCCACGACCGACCAGGGACGGGGACAAACTGCAACCGAGGTACATGCCCTTAGCGGGAACCGAACCCGGGTCTCTCAGGACCGCAGGTCGACGCTCTAACCGCTGAGCCAAACCGGCCAGGGCTTTTCTTTTTTTTTTTTCTTTTTTTTTTTTCTTGATATTTTGTTCAGATAGAGTGGGGGGGAGAGAGAGAGAGAGAGAGAGAGAGAGAGAGAGAAAGAGAGAGAGAGAAAGAGAGAAAGAAACATCGACGTGAAAGGGACAGGGACAAACCGCAACCAAGGTACGTGCCCTTAGCGGGAATCGAACCCGGGTCTGTCTGGACCGCAGGCTGACGCTCTAACCGGCCAGGGCAAAATCAATAATGTCATAAACTCTAAAAGGTCTTGGTAACCTTATTTTTAAGTGTTCTAATATATTTAGTTCCGTTTGCATTGCTTGCCGTAAAATAATAGTTTCAGTCTGTGTCTAAATTAATGTGGACATCTGGCATTATTGTAAAAGAACATATTGAATATTCTTCTAAAATACCAAGTTCCATACAAGTGTTAGTTCCAACCTAAATTTAATACAGAGTGAAGTAAAAAGAAGTTACTGTAACTGTACATAAATAATAAATACCCAAACCTTCAAATATCTATAGCAGAAAAGAATGATTGGTATATTGATAACTTTTGATCCTTATAGGGATAGCAAATTTTCATTCCCAAACTTATTGTTCATTTTTTATTTTTGTTTATTTATTTTTAAAAATATTCTTTTTATTGATTTTAGAGAGAGAAGACGAAGGGGGGGGGAGAGAGAGAGAGAGAGAGAAAAAAAAACACTGATGAGAGAGAACATTGATTGGCCGCCTCCTGCACGCCCCCCACTGGGGATCGGGCCCAGTGGGCGTGTGTCCTGACTGGGAATCGAATCAGCGACCTCTTGGAGCATGGGTCGACACTCAATCACTGAGCCACACCAGCCGGCCATTGTTTATTTTTTTAAATGAAGAACATCAACTTAGAGGATTTTTCTTCCTCATTGAATCACTGAAGAATTATGGATCCACCATCTACTATGTGCCAAACTCTGTATGAGGTTTTGGGGATTTAACTATGACCAAACCACCTGATTCTTCTTTTCTCATACATATCTCACTCCTAAATTTCTAGGGCACGGACTAATCAAGTGAGAAGCCAGTATGGCCCTGGCCAATTCGGCTCAGCGGTTAGAGTGTCGGCCCGCGGACCGGAGAGTCCTGGGTTTGGTTCCCGCGAAGGCAGTGGTTCTCCACCTTCCTGGTGCCGCGACCCTTTAATACAGTTCCTCGTGTTGTGGTGCCCCCAACCATAAAATTATTGTTGTTGCGACTTCATAACTGTAATTTTGCTACTGTTATGTCTTAGGCGACCCCTGTGAAAGGGTCGTTCGACCCCCAGAGGGGTTGTGACCCACAGGGTGAGAACTGCTGCGCTAGGGCCTCGGTTGCAGTTTGTCCCCGGCCCTGGTGGGGTCGTGCGGGGGGCAGCCACTCGATGTGTCTCTCTTGCATCGATCTCTCTCTCTCTCTCTCTTCCTCTCTCCCTCTCGCTCTATCCGAAGATAAATGCAAAAATGTCCTCAGGTGAGAATAAAAAAAAGAGAGAGAGAGAAGTCAGTATGTAATATTTAAGGCTCTGTTTCTGCACATGGAATCTTCCCATGAGAGACAGATAACAAAAATGTAACAAGCAGATATAATATGTTATCTAATGATCCTCCCATAAGTTAATATATACACAGGCTTTCAGTTTTGTCTGATCAACTCTGTCTAATAAATATTATTTTTCCTTTGGCTTGAATTTCTGTATGAGTCAAGGATGTGCTTTTTCTAATCAGGAAACACATTTGCAGTGAAAATACCACATTTCTTATGATTACTGTGGGCTCCAATATGCACCAACAACATTGTGATTTATTTTTTTTAGAATAGTGGTATTTCTAAGTAAGCTGAAATGCTCTTTCTTGTGCCTTTCCTATAAATATGCTCAGATTCTAAAGCAACAAATGTCATGTCTGATCTTTGTATAATTTATCAGCATCTCTTTCCTCACTGTACAGTTGATTGCTTAGCTCCAAGTATCTCCCCTAAAACTGTCACGTCGTTAGTGCCACAGTTCTGGCGTAAAGCACCTACCCAGCACGGATCTGTTTTAAGGCAGTAGACTTGTTGGTATACTTGGGACAAATCAGATCATTAATGCAACAGGCAGGTACAGTGTGTTTTTACATGAGTCTCCCAAAAGTAAATAGTACACAGACTTGAGATGTCTTTGTAGCGCAAATGTAACTCTTCCAAGTGACCCACACTACCCCCTTGAGTGTGCATCGTAGGAAGTTAATGGTGATCCAGAGGGCATTATGCTTCAGTAAGTAAAAATCCCACATCTCTATAGATTTGGATTCTTTTTTTTTTTTTAAACATTGTTTTTTTTTTTATTATTATTATTTTTAATCCTCACCCGAGGACATTTTTCCATTTTTTTTTTTGTTGTTCAGATAGAGCGGGAGGGAGAGAGAGGAAGAGAGAGAGAGAGAAACATCGACATGAAAGGGACACATCGAGTGGCTGCCACCCGCACGACCGACCAGGGCCGGGGACAAACTACAACCGAGGTACATGCCCTTAGCGGGAACCGAACCCGGGTCTCTCTGGACCGCAGGCCAACGCTCAACCGCTGAGCCAAACTGGCCAGGGCTAGATTTGGATTCTTTTGCTTAGAACTTTTTTTTTTAATTCTTTCATTATAGTATGAAATGTATCGCTTCTGTGAATGATTTTTGCTTAATATCATTATCTTTAAAAAACAGTTAAGATTAGTTAGCTGATTCTCAAAAATACACTTGCCGTTTAAGATCATTTTGTGTCAAGGTTTTCTTTCAATTGTGATTTATACAAATATATACATTCTGGTGTAGCAAATAATCTGAATTCGAGTTCTAACCAATAAAATATTTTTTTAATTAAGGTAATACAAAGTATATAATAATTTAAAATGTATATAAGTTAGGAAAATCTCAAAAATGATGCTTACCTTTTCATTTTTTTATGAGTATAATTTTCAAAGCAGAAGGTTTTCATTTCGATCAAGTCAAACGTATCATTTTAATTTTATAGGTAGTGCTTTTTGTGTCATAAGAAATCTTTATCTACCCCAAGATCCTGAAAATGTTCTCCAGTGTTCTTTCTTTAAGTCCACTGTTCTGTGTCTATCTCTTAGGCAATACCAAACTGTCTTGATTACTGTAGTTATGTATCAGGTAAAGTGATACCTCCACTTTACTCTTCTCTCTCAGGATTGTTTAACTATTCTAGGGCCTCTGCCTTTCCATATTAACTTTTAGAATAAGCTTATCTTTGTCTCCAAAAACTCGTGTGGATTTTGGTAAGAATTGCATTCAAATCTATAGATCGATTTGGAAAGAATTAATATATTCACTATGTTGAGTCTTCAAATACATAAACACAGTATGTCTCTCTATTTACTCAGGTATTCCTTTATTTCTTTCATCAGCATTTGATCATTTTCAGTATACAGGTCCTTACATGTTAAGTCGATACCCAAGTATTTTACTTTTTTTGTGTGATTATACATTATCTTACAGTTTTTAATTTCAGCTTTCATGTGTTCATTGATAGTATATGGAGATATGGTTGATTTTTAAATTTTTATCTTAAGTGCTTGAAACCTTACTGAATTTGCTTAAAAGGCCAGGAGTGTTTTTGTAGATTCCTTGGCATTTTCTTTGTAGTCAGTCATGTCATGCTATCTGAAAGTAGGGATAGTTTTATTTCTTCCTTCTTAATCTGTATGGCTTTTATTTCTTTTTTCTTGCTTTATTACAGTGGTTAGAACTTCCAGTAGTATGTTGACTAAGGTGGTGGAAATAGACATCATTATAAAGTATGATGTTAGCAAGTTCTGTTTGTAGATTCTGTTAATTATATTGAAAAAGATCCCTTCTGTTCCTAGTTTGCTGAGAGTTTTTAGCATGAATAGATTATATTTTGTTAAATGATTTTCTGAGTCCATTGACACCATACAAATTTTTCTTTGTTAACCTGTCGATATGATGGATGACATTGGTTTTCAAATGTTGAATCAACCTAACAGACCCGGAATAATTCGCACTTGATGTCACCATTTTTTAATTTGATGTAATTTTCATTTCCATTCAGTTCATGTAAGGTTTTTTCCTTTGAGACTGCCTCTTTAACCCATGGGAAAGTGGTCATTTGACCGATGGGTTAGAAAAGGTCAAAGAACTGTGCTATTTAATTTTGACTTGCTTTAGACTTAAATTGCTCTTTATCCTCCAACTTCCTGGTGAAATTTTAAGCTATTGATTTTAGAGCATTTTTTTTTCTAATACTTGTATTCAGTGCTATAAATTTCCCCTTAGTACTGTTTTTACTGGGAAGAGGACCTCAAACTCTATTAACCCGATTCTGAAATTACCTCTACAACCAATCTCTGTGACTACATCTGTAGAATAAATTCTGTAAAATTACTTTTTTTATGCTCTCAGGGTGTGTGTTTCTGTGTGTATATGTCTTCTAGCTAAATAGGGGAGGTTTTCTGTTACATGATTTTTATAATGCTTTTGAAATTCTGTCATTGCACTGTGGTTCTAGTAAGCAGAATCCAGACCATAACACGAAGAAAGCTTGTTTTCTTTTGCTGTTAACTGAGGGATATTATGTCATCTGCAAACAGCTAATAAAATGAGCACGCACATAGCTCACCTGATTCTAGGGCTGGCTCGATTTCAAAAGGAAACTTACACTTCTGCCATGTGCTGTGTTGACCATACCTAGTCCTTTATTTTAACCAAGAAAAAGACTGTCTGTAGTGGGAAGAATCCCGAGACTGTAATCTTGAACTCACAGTGTTCTCTCCCTTTCTCCCTCTCCAGGAGGACGACTGTTAGTTTTGTGGCCTACTGCTGCTCCACCCAGTGTCTGCAGACTTTTGACCTACTGAGTTGATAAACACTCGAGAACCTCAGGAGTCTTGCCAGCATAACGCTGCAGCTGCCTGCACGGCACACAGTGCTGTGTCGCAGGGGGACAGGAGTCCAGCCAGGCCAAGCAGACTTACACCCTGTCCTGTCCGGTCCTGTCCGGTCCTGTCCGGTGCGGGGCCCGCAGAGCACTCTGGAAGGGTCAGGATCGAGCTTCAGAGCTGAAATGCCTTCCTCTTGCCCCCCGACTTGGAATACATCCTCCCCAAATTAAGGACCCTTTGTCTCGTGTGTTTTTCTTTTCATGCAAGTGTCTCTTACGCAAACTGCTGAGTTTGATGTGCCTCCCGAATCTAATTTAGAGCAAGTGTCAGTCCCCTGAACTATAATTCGATAACATTGTCAAGTGAGCTTTTGGACTCATAGAACTCAATGACACTTTTAATTTTCTCTTTCTTCCCCCAGAGAGTAATTTTCCCTAGAGGTTGTTCTCCGTGTTCATAACAGATTTCAGCACCCTACATGGCCTCAATAATATTGAAGAGTAGAGGGTGGGGGTGCTCCTGAGAGAAGTCAGACCCCAGGGGAGGCTCCCTAGGGTCCTAGCATACACCCTCTAGAAAGTTATAACCTAGTTGATAAGTTTTGCAAAGTGTTGAGAGACTTTTGTGTGGGATTTAAAAAATAAAAATGTAGATTATAAGTAAAATCCACACTTATTTTGAAAGACTACAGAAAAATAAATTTTGCAATGTTCGATTTCCCAATAAGATTTTTTTTATATATATCTGAGAAGAGTTTGAGGGACATTTGAGGCTTTAAAAGACATGCTCCTTTTTTTCCTGGATCTAAACATTTTCTGGCTAAAGAGAAAGGAGAGGAAAGTACATCAGAATACGACCTCCAGTGTTTCTGGGTAGTTGGGGTTATGATCAAATTTACAGTGACTGAAATATTTCTGTGACACGTGGAGAGCAGCCTTCAGCGACTTCTGCTGCCAGTGTTTAGCAGGGTGATTCTGAGTGAGCTCGTGCACGCTCATTGACATCCCTGGTGCGTTAGGTTACCTCCACCGCGACCCCAGATTTCTTACGTGCTTACCACACTTTTGTCCAGTTGCCACTGAGAACCGACAGGAAAAGCAGGTCCAGGTTCAGCCTTGGGCTGTTGCAGCAAAGGCCACAAATGGGCATCTGAGGTGACACTCCGGCAGAGACAGGCTGTTAACGGAGGGTCCCACAGCTGCTCTTTGAAAGGGTGGCATTTTCACGTGGCTTCGCTGCCTGGTGTTCATCTGGAGGCTTTTATATTTTTCGACATTTTAATTGCGCGGTGTTTGCTCTGAGGCACGACGGAAAGGGGGAACCAAGAAGGTTTACTTGGGCCCTGGCCGGTTTGGCTCAGCTGTTAGAGCGTCGGCCTGCGGTCCGGAGAGACCCGGGTTCGGTTCCCGCTAAGGGCACGTACTTCGGTTGCAGTTTGTCTCCGGCCGTGGTTGGTCGTGCGGGTGGCAGCCACTCGATGTGTCCCTTCACGTCGATGTTTCTCTCTCTCTCCCTCCAACTCTATCTATGCAAAAATGGAAAAATATCCTCGGGTGAGGATAAAAAAAAAAAAAAAGGTTTACTTGGTCAGAAAGTTATTTTCCAAAACTTTCGGGCTCATCTAATATTCGGTCTCTGGAACTTTGCTAGCTGCCCTAAACCTGGGATGCTCGGCTCGACCAGCGCCAGAAATCCTACCTAGTTACCGACAACGGTGTGATCTCTTCGCAGCGCGTCCCCTGCTGCCGGAAAGCAGACTGTCCTTGGAGCAGGGCGAAGGGAGAGTGACGTATGTACCAGCTGCCTTTCCACTGTCCCCCCTCCCTCCTGTCCCTTTCACAGCTCGGCCTGCGCAGCCTCAAAGGCTGGCAGCACAATAGACACCGAAGATCTACATCAAAATATAACACTTCTTTCATCCTCAATAACTGACGTTTTAGTGGAAGCTCTACATGTATGCAGGTGAAAATGTGGCATACGCCTTCATAAATGCACTCCAGGCCTCTGGCTGCTGCCTGTCACTTAGAGGACAGTAAATACATCGCAGCATCTATCCATTTCACCCTCTACGGTCATGTCTTCAAATGAAACGTGCTCACCTGATACTCAGGATTCTCACTGGATGAGGACACCTGTGATACTTTTAGCTTGTTTGAAATTTTACAAAGACACGCTCCAAGTATCCTCTCCGTACCTGTTACATCCGATGCGCATTGGGCCACCTTGGGGCGGTCTCAAGCTTAACCCTTTGTGCAGCAACCAGCTTCATTGAGGAGAAATGCAGTTTATAATTTGGCTTCCCTAGTGCTGTTCATCGTAAGAAATTCGTGCCGGGTTCACTGATGTCCTTCTTAACATGTTGATGTTACATGGGCGTATTGGAAATGGGAGAAAATTTGCCTACATGCTGTGTCTGTGAATTGTGTGCAGGGCTTTGCAGAAATCTCTGAAGTAGTTTTATTGTGTTTTCTTGACTAACAGTTATGCTACATAGAGAAATGTTTCATGCAAAAATAATAATGCGAAGAAACGAATTACTTGGAAAATCTAGTCTGTTCAGGTGAGTTTACATCAGTAATCTGACTCGTGGTTAATGAGAAATTTGAAAATCCCGAATACCCTGTTGGGCAGGGGCCTGCTTATGACAGAGTGTAAAAGACGATCCATTTTAAGTGGATTACCCCATCGATGTCATTCAAAATGCCTAATCATTCTCATACCAAAATCCCAGACTACGTAACTTTGTGTAGATAAAATGTTGCATCTTCAATGAATAAAATATATATTTTGCCCTGGCCAGTGTTGCTCCGTGGTTAGAGCGTCGGCCTGTGCATCAAAGGGTCTCGGGTTCGATTCCCAGTCAAGGGCACGTACCTGGGTTACAGGTTTGACCCCCCACCCTGGTCCAGGTATCTCTCACGTCGACGTTTCTCTCTCTCTCTCCTCCTTCCCTCCCTCCCTTCCATTCTCTCTAAAAATAAATGGAAAAAATATCCTCCGGTGAGGATTAACAAAAAAAATAAAATGTATATTTTGAGCACACTTAAAACATTTTTCAAAATGTTTAAATGATCAATATATAAGAGAGCCCTGGCTGGTGGAGAAGTCACTCTGCGTAATAGAAATGAGTGACAATCTCCTCTGTCACCCGCCCCCTTCCAGAAAAGCACCTTAAACATTTCTGGTCGACATGCTCAACACTCACTGCACACCTTTCACACTCTGGCTCGTGCGGCTAGTTTAGTGCACATTTCATCTTCCTCCGCGTCTTGACTTACGAATGAAAATGTCTACAGTCTAAGAAAAAAGGCTTCAATGCCAATTGGCTTCTAAGGCTTTGAATACAGTTTTCCCTAAAATATATACCTATTTTGGAATTGAGGGGGACTTTCAAAGCTGGTTTTAAAAATTATCAGTGGTAAAGTTAGGTTTCTGTTTCCTGGGTTAAAAAATCAGACATTTTTATCTTTTCTATAAAAAGCTTTAAAACAATACGTTGCTTCAGAAATCAAAATATTTTTTATTCAGGTGATTTATAAACGTGGATTACTAACTGGGCCAACACTAATGTAACCTGATGTAATTAAATATTAAGATGTAAATTTATTTCACACACCTGTAAACACACTCTCTTTAGGAACCCTACTTTAAAGTATATTTTTACACAACTCTGGACATTTTGTACTGCTGTTATTATTTTTGTAGTTTCCACTGACTCCTGCCTTCTCTTAAACAGAGGGGATTTTTATAAAGTCTGTATTCTTCAGAATAGTTCCCTGACGATGTAAACATTATGCCCGTCCCACTTTCTCTACCAATAGACCTGAAGTGAGGTCAGTGTCTCCAGGGAGGGGAGTGATCACAGCTGAGCGACTGTGACTGTCGTCCCTGGTCAGGACAGGAGCTGCTTTAGAGCCTAGGATGTGTCCCTAGTCCCTTGTCCTTCAGAGTCAGAGCGGTGGTGGCAGCCCAGTGTGGGGGCTGGGTACAGGGAGACCCTTTTCTTACGTAATTGAGAGACTTCCAAAGTTGACAGGTTTATTTATCCGCTCACTTTATAGCAGAGTATAGATTGTCCTTGCTACCTGCGTCAACAAATATCAAGTTCTGTTTCTTATAGCAATTTGAAGACTATAATACTCCAAAATGTTTTTCTTTCTTTTATACTTCCTCCCTCCCTCCCTCCCTCCCTCCCTCCCTCCCTCCCTCCCTCCCTTCCTTCCTTCCTTCCTTCCTTCCTTCCTTCCTTCCTTCCTTCCATCCATCTTTCTCCTCCTCCTCCTCCTCCTCCTCCTCCTCCTCCTCCTCCTCCTCCTCCTCCTCCTTCTTTGTATACAGCAAGGATGTTCTAAACCTTGGAGTGTGCACACTGAAACATGATGGCAACATTCAATTGGAGTGGGGACATTTTCTAAAGTCATACTGTGTCCAGTTTGATTGTTCTTACAGCTACTGCTGTTTACAGAACAGTTGCGCTTGAATCATTCGAATGCTTGGAAATGTCGATGGGGGGGTTGCTTTATTGTTTCAACCAGATTCATTTTGCTACGAAGAAGAAAAGGGCATTAAATACTTAAAGCCAGCAAAAGTGGTGGAGTAAGAACCTCTGAATATTCTCCCCTTCACAAAAGCAAGGAGAAAACTGGCAACAAAAAAAAAGGTCAGAATCGACTTTTTTCAGAACTCTGGAAATTAACCAAAGGCTTACAGCAATCCAAGGACTATTTACTCGAGAAATAGCTGAATCTCAGAACACTGAGCCTTGTGTCATTTTAACTCGCCCTGTTTTGAACCCCTCCCTCCCCTTCCCAGCTCTGCTGTGTCCTTCTACACAGTCCTCCTCCATGGAGGGAGAAGCAGTAGTACAGAAGCCACGGAGGGGTGGATGGGGTCGGAGCACTTCCCAATCCGTGTTCCCAGAGAACTGCCATTATTTGACGTACCTGGTAGTTCCCTGGGAGACCTCACTTGCAAGGCTGCGTTTATTTTGCCTGATCAGAGTTTGCCAGACGTGAAAAGCCTTTCTTCCCAGGGACATTGATTGGAGAAAAAATCAGAGGCAGCAGGCAGTGGTGGCTGTCTGAAGCTGTGATTAACCATCGGAGCAAACGATAGGCGAACCAAAAACTTGAAAGGAAAAGCTGAGGCGTGAGGTATTTGTAGGGACTTAGTAAAACTCCGACATCCTGGGGTTTTAGGTGTGCATGCATGTGCACAGGGCTTTTCACAAGCCAA